CTAGAAACACAGTTAAGCAGTGAGTACAGTATGTTATTCTTCTTTTCTCTACTCCCTCAATTAAACAACTTTTATACACGAGGGGAGGAGTCAGCCGGCCATCCTGGCGATGTAAACAAAGTGAAGATAGGACTCTGAAAACTCTGAAAACATCACAGACAGTGGGACAGTGGGAGTTATTTTCAGAGGATATACTTGATTTATATTACATTGAAGTGTGAAAAATCACATATGAAGACTTTAACTTATTAATTGACTTGGTAAAAATGAGACCTGGAGTCTTTTTTGTCTTCCTTACAGGAGCTCTGAATAAATGTTCATGACAGTTGTTGGTTTCATGTTCACAAGGCAGCTTAGATGGCCTTTTTTTTGCTTTGGAGAGAGACTTCTATTTTGTTCCTAACGCTTTAAAATGTTTATGCTAAGCTAGACCGACCACATCCTGACAACACATGAGATTAATATTGATCATTGCATCTCAGCAAATGAGTCTGTTTCCCCACACTAAAAAAGAACAATTCCTTTTAATGGAGGGGAGGTTTGGAGAGCAGAACGTGTAAAATAAAAAGAAGACTAATGAATAAATAAATAACCTTCATGAGGTTTTATGGTCAATACTGTGCAGCTGTGCTTTGGATGAACTCGCCTGCTGTCTAATGTGGGTGTGAGGTGAGGGAATAACAGCGCTCAGCAGCTGCTTCAGACACTTTTTTTGTGCAGGCTGGCTGTGCACTCACACACACGTGCACGCTAACGCACACGAACACAAACACATACACACACACACACAGGCTCAGTGTGGCTCAGCCCTCAGTCACGGCCCTGTGCTGCAGGGAGACTGGAGTGATGGAAGCAATAGTTAAGCCATTAAGGCAAACAATTGGCTCAAATTGAGAGGGAGAGGGAGAAAAAGAAGAAAAAAGAAGAAGAGGTTGGGGAGATGGCAGGAGTGGATCCACTCAACGACTTAATCCGAGGCCCCAGGACACTCTCCTGCTGAGCTCCACACACACACACACACACACACACACACACACGTTGAGACTGTGTCTGCTCGCAATAACACCTTGTCAGTCTTGGCCCACGGGGGCGAAGGGAAGAGGCGCTCATTCCTTTGTAGCGGAGGAGAGTCACCTACTTCCAAGCACCTCAAGGGAAAAGACGGAGCATGCAATCTACACAGGGCAGTTCTGTAAGCGCTCGAACGGGCCGTATGGGCGCGAGTGTGAGGCCGTCCATTGTCTTAGCGGAGCGGGAGTGAATGGCGAACAGTGTCCCTCTGACACCGGCTATTGTATCGTCTCCCCCGGTGGACTCGCTCAATCCCTGCAGGCCTCGCATAAACATCCCAACAATAAGGGATTGTCTCCAGCTATTCTTTTTGCTTGCGCACACACTTAAGAATTCTTTGTATGTGTGTGTGTGTCAGAGGGTGAAGGGATGATGTGCTGCAGTCTGAACCCGGCGACCGCCAAACCTCGTCTTGACACACTGGTTCTTGTGGCTAAACATCAGCGAGTGATCGGAAGGCAGTAACTCCTCGCGCGACCGCCGCGGCTTATTCCTTTCCTTCCTTTCCCTCCCTTCCTTCCCTACCCTCGGGGGCTCCCTCTACGCCGAGGCCCTTTGCGATTTATCGGACAGCTTAGCGAGGGAGTGGTTGCTGCCCCCAGGACGGTTAGCGCTCGGTCTGGCTCGTTGACTCCTTCCCCGGTTCTGCCGTTTTATTTGACATGTCCTTTAAGTCCTTTAAAGAATTGGGCGTTTCTGCTGAGCGCCTCGGCTCCTTCTGCAAGAGATGGATGGCCCGCGTTCAAAGGTCTGGATGTTTTTTTCTCTCCTCCCCTTGCAATATCTCTCCCCTTTCTCCCTCCTTCACTTCTTCCTCTTTCTTTCTCTTTCACTGAGCTTTATAGTGTGGTATTAGTGTTGTCAGCTAACCAAGCTCAGGATTTGGCTTTGTTTTTGCCTCTTAAGATAATGCTCTTTCGTTCTCCTGCCGAGAACAACAAAAGGGAAAGTAGAGCGATAAAACCGCACAGCCATTGACTTTGGTTTCATAAAATTGGTTTTCAGCCATCTTAAATAGACCACAGGCCTTGATGATGGCGGTGACGAGCGTTGTGCATGTGTTTTGTAGCCCTCAAAAACACAGTCACACTTCGCCTTCGTGCATGCTTGGGTGCCGCTCTCATCTCGGTGGGGGCCCCCCCACCGTTGACAGCATTTCCTCGCCTTTTTATTCCTCACGAAAGAAAGAGACGCCGTATAGCCAGGAGTTAGCATTCCCAACACGTGGACGCACGAGTGTGTTTTGTGAAGATAAGTGTTGTTGCTCTGCGGTCGGAAGAGGGTGAAAGCACTTCACCTCCATTTCATATGCATCCCAGATGTGGAAATATAACCAGAGCGAACGGCTTGTAAGCATCTGTGTCCTGTTAGAGGGCCCCGAGGTTTACTGCAGTCTGGTTCGGCGGGCTAATCCCTCACACACACACACACACACACACCACACATTAACACACACTGCATGCTGCTTATTCAGCATTCATTCATGCATGCAAACATGCACAAACATTCACACGTGCAGAGCGGTGGACGGCAGGTCAACATACATCATGTAGAGTGTCTCTGCTCTTGGCTACAAAGCAGAAAACAGCATGTCAACAAGTACGGTGAAAAAGCCAAGACACACAGTAAACACATGCCATATAGATGGATAGATGCACTCAGGTGCTTCATTGAACCAATTTTTTTAGCAATATCTCCCTTTCAGACAAATCCAAAGTAGGAATATAGTGGTGAGTGTTTTGCTAAAGTTGTTGAGCCTTCCTCTTATCTCAATCTTTTGAAAAATGGTAATTGAAAATCAATTCAAATTATTGTAGTTAAAGTCTTTATATGCGATTTTTCACACTTAAATATAATAGAAATCAAGTATATCCTCTGAAAATAACTCTGTGAGTCATGACTGTCTACAATGGGTGTAACACCCGAGTCCCACTGTCTGTGATGTTTTCAGAGTTTTCAGAGTCCTATCTTCACTTTGTTTACATCGCCCGGACGGCCGGCTGACTCCTCCCCTCGTGTATAAAAGTTGTTTAATTGAGGGACTAGAGAAAAGAAGAATAACATACTGTACTCACTGCTTAACTGTGTTTCTAGATCACGCTCATTTCAGGTAAATTTACATGCAGTGTGAAGATACCAGCATAATAAAGATCGCTAGCATTAGCATGCTAACACAACAATGCAGCGCCAGTTGTTTTGGTTTCATGCTGGTGCTCAAGGGCGACATCTGCTGGATCAAAAAATCACATATAAAGCCTTTAATATTTTCCTCATCCAATAAATTGAACATATTTATTGTTTTCTGTGTTCTGTCTTGGCTCATGTGAATAGTAAGGTTTATTGTCTTAAACAATCAAACGGTTTGCATCTGTAAGCAGCAGAGAACCTGCCAAAGACGCAAGTACGAAAGAAGTGCCTTGCTAGTTGGCTGCTAGGTCCTCATGCTAACCCAGCTAACTCAATAACCTTAACATGCTCAGTTAGGCTAACTACTGCAAAACAAAAGTCTGTGTCTTCTCTAATTGTTACGTTTATAAATGGAGGCTTGCTTTGCTATGAGCTGTTAGCTTCATTAACTTGATATAGTCGATGATAGTTTGTAGTGGAAGGAGCTAGCTAGATGCCTGCTAAATGTTATGCTACCAAAAGCTAGAGTTACGACCACAATCACTGCAGATAGCAGAGCACTTCTCACACAAGGGCTAGCTGTTAGCTAGCTGCTGGACATGCTTGGACATGTGGCTCAAAGTCTTCTTCTGATCGATTGGCTGCTTTTGTAATCATGTTGTTGAGCTGGAAAATATTCGGTCCGACAGTGTGGATTAACTAGCATCCTTTAGTACGACTGTTACTGCGTCTTTTACAACTAAACATCCACATTCAGGGTCAGAGTGATGTATCAGTTTTCCAATTTCTCGACCTTGTACAGAACATAAAGAATTCCAGCTTCAGGGATATCAGTCTGTAAAAACCTGTGAAGCTGAATCTCTGTGCTGGAAAGAGCGGCTGAAAGAATCCTTCAGTGCCGCTGTGGCTGAGTTTCAGTGTCCCTGTGATCAAACGGAGTCTGTTTTTTTTTCGAGGCCACTTTGTTGTGAAAATGAATTTCTCTGGGAGTTTGTAGTACTTTTTGTGACTTTTCAATTTGAATTCCAGACCCTCGTGTGTGTCAAAATGTGACCTCTTTAATTGCTTTCTGTGTGAAAATGCTTTTGGCATTTATTCCGGCCGAGGTGACGACCCCTCATGTGCTCTTTCTCCCCCCTTTCTATTCGTCTCTTTGAATTTCAAACCATGAATCTCTATTTTGGCATTTGAAATTTTGAATACATTTCAATGAATGATTTTTTTACCTTTCTAACTTTTTAGCCTTTTTGGTGAGGTTGGTTGCCTTTTTAGGAACCAGATAAAGAGCCTCCGATAGCCTCGCGGTTATGCCGTGAACACAAAGTACAGAGGCTATTGTCCTCATTGCACCGGCAGTGGGTTTGAATCCGACCTCAGGCCCTATTGTGCATGTCTTCCCCCACTATGTCCTCCCAGCATTTCCCGTCTCTCCTCAGCTGTCCTTTCAAATAAAGGCGGAAAGGAACTTTAAAGACAGCCAATCCATCGCTTTCTTCAAAGCCACCAGGATGTTGATGTTAATGCAGCAGTAGAGGATCAAACTCTGTATTCTGCGAGGTAAAACTGCCTTGTTTTTCAATGAGGTCTGGAGAGTGATGAAATAGCTTTTGGTAAAGAAATAATATGTAATTTATCGTCAACAAAAAGGTCTATCACAACACAAACATACACAGAATATATTCTGAAGAGGCATCTCCTTGAATATTCCTGATTGTATTGAGCGCTCGCTAAAAGTGCTACAGGTGTAAATATGAGGTTTTTCTCAGCTCTTAATGTTCTGTTTTTTGTCTCTCTTGTTACAGTAACGGCACGGCCGGGAAGATGAACGGGGCGCTGGAGCATTCGGACCAGCCAGACCCGGACGCCATCAAGATGTTTGTGGGTCAGATCCCGCGCTCCTGGTCGGAGAAGGAGCTGAAGGAGCTGTTTGAGCCGTACGGCGCCGTCTACCAGATCAACATACTCCGAGACCGCAGCCAGAACCCTCCACAGAGCAAAGGTACATCAACACAACAACAACAACAACCTTTTGTTTGCTTTTGTTTTTCATTCCCCAATAACTTTAATATGAAGTCGTAGCATCTCCCACTTTACTGGTGCTTACGTAAATGGTTTTTCTAGAGGAGTATATGAGGCAGACATAATGCACTCCTGTGTACCAAAATATTAATAGAGAGGCACTTCAAAGACAGTCTGTACATACACCTCCACACAGACACACTCATACACTCAGCAGTCAGTGACTGAGTGGGCCATCACACCTTGTTAATGGCAGAACAAATGATATATGTGCAGAATTACACAGGCAAACACACATTTTCTTTTTTGCACCGTCGGAAGACAAAGCTTCGCCCAGCCAGACTTGCACAGTCAATTGTGCGAAACGGCATGATTTGCAGCTATTTTCTCCCATTCCTCTTTCTTCTGCCTTTGATGAATTCGTCAAGTGTGAGAGCAAACAATAGAGACAGAAGCAACGAACGGGCACACAATAGCGCTGCCATATTAACAGGCTTCAACCGGAGGAGTTGGTGGGGGGGGGGGCTGATGACACTCCTGATGAGACACGCGGAGTGGGAGGAAAGTAAAGAGAGAAAGAGAAGGACGTCGGGAAGAGAGATGTGCCGCCTCCATCCGACTGTAAAGCAAATCTGAGGAGAAGTTTTTCAGAGTGTCACGGGGAAACAAAAACATGAATCAGACTGAATGAAGCGAATAAACACTCATCTGAGTGAAAGATGGGATTAAATTAAGGATTTATCCATTTGGGGGGAAAGTTTGTCTCCATCACACACACAGTGATGCTTAGATGTTGCAGCTTATGGTGATACATCAGCGAGGCTAGACCCTATGTTGTATAATTTACATGAAAAAACTGCTCATTTGGGTTTTTTGATATTCCTGCCTGGAGATTTTTTTCCAATCCATAATATGCAAAGATCTGAAGGAGGAGTTGTGGATAAAGAGCTAGCCAAACTATGATCATGATTAAGGCCCAGTCCACCATGGTTAGGGCTCCATGAGTTGTTTGGCCTGGAGTTTTTTTTCTTGGCATATTAAAGATGCATGGTTGCAAACTGGGCTGAGCTGTTATATGATGCAATCATGGTCGATATGGAATTTATATACCATGAATGAAATATACGTTATTTAATGAGTGTGGCATGAAATATGAAGTACTTTTCCTTTTCCACTTTTGTACTCTTCCAAGTCGATCTCATTCGTCGTGGTTATTTTCAGATTTTTTGTGATTTTCTTAGCATGAACGCCCCACACCTCAGATTAGTGTGCTGGCTCATTATAAGATCCTGTTTTGATATCACTAGAGTGGCTGAAAGGTGCGATGTCCTTCACCTTTTTTTGCCTCTGCAGATTTCTCAGTCTGAGTTTTTTTTTTTTTCCTGCTCTCGTCGTGTGTTTTTCTTTCCGGCTGCCTCTCGATCTCACTGAGTCAGACGAGCTTATGAAAGCCTGAAGACAGCCTTCTGCCAAGACCCAAATCAACTCGTTTTTGCACACCAACACACTTGTCATCCTCTTGGTATGTGTGCGTTCTTAGCCTTGAAATGACTCCTTCCTTCTCTCACCTGTCTCTCCTCTCCTCCTTCTTCTTCTTCTTCTTTTTCCGACAACGATGGTAGAAAGAGAAAAAAGGAAAGGTGCAGAGTTCCTCTTCCTGTCCTTCGGCTCCCTCAAATCTCCTGCTTTATCTTCACTACCATGAAAAGAGTTGTTTTTATGGTTGATGAGTCAGGAGTATCACTCACCGGCACTTCTGCAGCAGATGAAAAAACACAGCCACCTACCGTGCCTTTTATTTTCTCTTCCCTGAATGACAATCTCGCTCCGTCTATTCCTCATTTTTCGCCGTCTCTGCCTCTGTTGCTGCAAGGTGGAGTGTTTTAAGAGGAAATGTAGCGTTTGATTGGGCTCTTACTGGCCTTGTTATTCGCAGGCTTCGAGCACTGTTGTTGTTTTTTCATAGTTAAGTAAGCCACCCTGGCCTCATCTGCACTCGCTCAACTCGGAGGAGCCGCAACGGCCCCCTTGTCGGGCGTCGAGCGCAGCGCTGGAGCGTCGGTAATTTCACCGGTGTCAGGGAAATCGTGGCTCCCTTTCCTCCCCTCTGTGTGTTTGTTTTAAATTAGGGATGCTGCTGTTTTGAAAAGGGTCTCGCCCATGTGGGGGCAAACAAGCCCGATACGGTGCCCCCAGTGGCGACTCGAGCGGTTTGGATATAAATGAGTTTGTTAGCCCCGGCGAGACGCTGGAAAAGTTCCACAGCAGCAGAGATGGGCTTTTAAAGAACTTTCTGTTGTGGTTTTGTTTGGATCCTCGTTAGCCTCAACAACTGCTAGTCAAAAAAAAAAAAACACAAACATCAATGGACGATGGATATTTGACAAAAAACAAGAAAAGCTCCATCTCGATCTTTTATGGAGGGAAAAGTCTTCTTCCTCTCAGATTGGTGGAGGGTGATGTTTCCATTACATGATGCCATGAGGATACAGTTTCTGATGTAAAAACTTGCAGACTTCTTAGTCGCTGTCGGGCTAATTCAAGTCTGAATTATTCAGCCTTTGACATCGTATGATCACAGGTTGATCAGTCTTTAGTCGCCGATCAGATACAAAGAAAGTCGATTTTGAGAGTTCTATTTTTCAACAGTCAGACAAATTTAAAACATTTAACAACTGTGTTGAAACATGTTAAAGAATCCATCAACAGGGGCGCTGGATAGCCTAGCGGTTATGTTGTGCGCCCCATGTACAGACGCTGCAGCGGCTGTGGGTTCAAATCCGACCTACACCCATTGCTGCATGACATCCTAAAGCAGCAACCTCCATTCTTGTGAAATGAAGCCAATGTGGAAGTGCAGAATCCTGCAGTTCATCAATTGTCCACTAGAGGCTGGCTGCAGAAGCACAGGAAGTCACATACACACAACACAGGCAAAAAAGCTGTTTACAGCCTGGTCCAAAAAACTAAAAACATGTTATCCATAGTTAGGCTTGTAGCTGACATGATTGACAGGTGGGTGTGATGTCGGTCAAGAGGTTTAAAACCCGCCTCAGCTCCAGCTCTCAGCCTGTCGTTAGGTTGACTGAAACTGAGACAGCATTTCCAACATGGCGGCTGCTGCTGATGATATTCCAGCCCCCTGCAGGAACAGACGACTGACGTCACTCAGGCTTCATCCATTAATATTGACAGTCTATGGCCATCGACCGCTCTCTCTCCGCCCAACATCTCCTGTCTCTCTTCAGCTGTCCTTTCCAATAAAGGCAAAAATGGCCCCAAAAATATCTGCCAGCAAATACTCCGACCCTTCATCCTGATAAAACTCACAAATACTTCACAATGAATTTGTTCTGTTTAGGTTTCACGGTTTGCCTTGACAGCAGGAGAATAGCTTTCTTTCTTTATTTGTCGACTACTATTCCCAACATCCCAGTTTCATAAAAAAAGTCAAATCACGTTTAAGTTTATAAATCAGCAGCGCCGGTGGCCCAGCGGTTGGTGTGCGCGCCACATGTACAGAGGCTGTGGTCTGACCTGTGGCTCCATTCCCCACTCTGTCTCGCCCGAATTTCCTACTCTATCCCCCCCGTCCTGTCTCTCTAAAAAAAAGCCCCAAAAAGCCCCAAAAAAGAAATCATAAGAAAAAAGAAAATGTAAATCAGACAGGGCCAGACATTCAAAGTGGGACAGCTTTGAATAAATTAATGATTAATTACAAGACGTCCAAGATAAAAACCTAATGCTGGCTCAGAGCTACGGCTGGAATACACATCAAACCAGAGAGTGGATATCTGTGGATCAGTGTAATCCCCTCCCCACCCCCCCACCCTTCCTATTTTATTATTATTATCATCATCTGCCGTGGCATGACGCGTGTGAGTGCTGCTTGAGAGGCTTCTTCAGCCTGACAAGAATAAAACTCCTCGAGCAAACACCGAGTCCGTTTCTGAATTTCTGTTGGCATTAAAGAGTATCATCCTTTCAAATATATTTCCGCTCGTCCAAATCCACATCGCAAATGTTTGAAAAATGATCTCTTAAAGCCTGTCGAAGTGAGTCAGGAGCCAAACTTCATCAATCACTGGAGAAATGTTCAGAGTCGGCTCGGTTTCCCTTATTAACGTGTTGTTCTCGGCCCTAAAGCGTTAGGGTCCTTCATGCAGAATCCATTTGACACTTTGACCCAGGTTTGTGCATTACACCAGTATGTGTGTGTGTGTGTGTGTGTGTGTGTGTGTGTGTGTGTGTGTGTGTTTATTCTGATGGTCTGGGGAATATCGTGGCACTACTGTTGGTTTAATGTGTTTGGAGTTAATAACCAGATGAGTGGATGAGCAGGGGGGGGCGAGGAGGGGGGGGGGGGGGGAGCGAGTGAGAAATGGAGCAATTTGGCATTTGCACTGAAAGAGAGACAGAGATGGAGGGAGAGATAGAGAGAGAACGAGACAAAGAGAGCCAGAGGGGTAAACAGAAAATGGTCCTTTTGCTAAAACACAACCTTAAGCGCCATGACGGGTTTGTTGCAGCATGTGTGTGTGTGTGTGTGTGTGTGTGTTTTGGCAGGGGACACGCTATGTCATTTATCTAAATGATACAGCCTGCCCACATGAGCTGCTGAGACACACACACACACACACACACACACACACACACACACACGTGCACCGAGTAAGTTTAATGTCTTCATTAACAGACAATATCCCACAGAAGCGTCCCTGAGCACAACGAGGCCTCACTCCAAACATAACAAATAAGACGAATCAGAGGAGAAATTAACTGTGTGTAATTTAATCTGAGTGGGAAAAAAGAGTCATCATCAGAATGTATAAGATTACTCTCTGACAAAGCGACGCTATCCACCCGACCTGCAAATATCACGAGGGCTAAATGATTACAAGTCAAAACCGTAATTGGACTTTTTCTTTTCTATTATGAGTTACATATTTAACGGTGTCTTAAAGCAAGAGCCATCACGCT